TCTGATAAAGTCTTTTGTGTTTAGTTCTTTTATATGCACTTTGCATTCTTCACATTGCATAATTTAGAAAGTTGCTGAACAGTTTTGAAATTTTCATTGATATTTGGAGATGAGAAAAGTGGATGGAAGTAATTGCAGTGTAGAAGTATTTGCCGCAGGTTGGTTTGTAAAATGCCTCTTGTACCATTCACTTTTTAAAAACACTTTTGTTGTTTCATTGTTTTGTTTTTCAGGCTGATTCCTTGTCATCTGAAAATAGTGACAGCTCAGGAGAAGACTGGCTCATAAAAGTTCGTTGCCCAGGAGCAAGGCATCGATACAGTAAACAAGCTCATGAAAAAAAGGTTAACATTACAACATTATTAATTTAATTAATCAATTAAACATGGCTAAAGATTGTTAAGAGAATAGTGACCCTTTTGAATGCTGGGCGATACAATAGTTTTAATGTGAAACCTATATATCCAGCTGTTCAGTTGATCCAGGAAAGAATTTTGTGGCTCTATTTATTTTATTTCTGTTTTTCACTTCCTACTTCATGTAAATTAGTCATATGGCAAGAATACTCAACATGTAGAGAAGATTTCCAGCTATATTTTTGTATTTTGCTTGTGACACCAGTTCAGGATGAATATAATATGCAATGGTGCATATTTATGCAAACCCAAAAAGTATTACACAGCATCTAAAAACTTTTAGGGACCTAGCTCTAAAATTTTGCTTAACAAAAACTTTAAAAATGAAAAAGACTTTTTCCCATTTAAATTGCAGGACTAAAACATGAGGGTATAGTTAGAATTTCTTAAACAAAAAATGACTTAATTTACTAAAATTATTTGACTGTTATGCATACATATGGTAATTATTCAATGAACTCTGGGCATAATAGAAATAAAATTGGATAAAATTAGCTCCATTTTATTTTATATGGTGTATAAAAGCTTGGACAACTTTGTCTTGCTCATATCCTCCATATGTTAAATTAGCATATGAATTATGTTAGTTTTTAAATCAACATCACTTTTCAAAGTTGAATCTTTCCTTCTGTCAAGGGACTAAAGTTACCCATTTTATGTGCAATCAGTTCCTAGAAACAGCCGTCCTTCTTTATATCATAATAAAATTACTTTCATTGTAATTCAGCAAATTTTCTTTTTAAACAATTATTTATGGTCAGACTGACTTTTAATTAAGTCATGTAATATTTAAGCTCTCCCCCCAATTGGAAAATATCAGAGGCAAATGATCATATTAGTGACAATGGCAAATGCCTCAATTCATACTGCATGGGACAAGGCAGTGGTAACCCACTTCTCTATTTTTATGAACAAAGTCATATGTACAGAAAATATGAAATGATTGAGAATATAGTACCAGATAAGGAGTCCCTCCGATTGGATGACACTTAATATTTTATTTATTTATTAAACTTTTATAGTTGCCCATCTCTACCAAGTGACTCGGGTGGTTTATAGTTCTAAAACTACAAATTGGTTAAAACAATTAAAGCAATAAACAATAAAAACATCCAAATAATAAGTACATATACTGTAGCTGCCAAAATAGTTAAGCAACTAACAGTAAAGTCAAGAAATGGCACCTTTAACACATTCTGAGCCCAAAGCCCAAGTATGTAGCCAGGCGTTTAAGGCCTTATGAGGCCAATAGGGTTGGGGAAAATTCTAATCTCTGAGGGGAGAGTATTCCACAAAGCAGGAGCAGAGACAGCCCATCTTCTAGTTCCTGCCAGTCGACAATTTAGCTGATGGGTTGTACAACATGCATAATCTGATGGAATGAAAAAGATGGTCCCTCAGGTAGCCTTCTAATGGAAAAGAACAAGAAACTAAGGTGGTTATTATATGGCTAGATTAAAACTTTTGGGACAGCTAGTAGGTGATGTTGCCATACTGGAGAAGAAAATATGGAGCTGTAAATACAGAATTATAGTAGGAACTTAAGAATCAGGAACAAAGGAAAGCTCAACATAATGAAAGATGAAAGGAAACAACTGCAAATTGACCTCTTAGGTGTCAGCAAACTGAGGTGGAATAGGATTGGGCATTTTTTTGTTGTTGGAAGATCACACTTTTTAGTACTGAGCACATGAAAAACGAAGAAGGAATGGCATTCCTTTTACAGTTAGGAAGAATGTAGCAAGAATAGTACTTGGCTGCAATGCAATCAGTGAGCAAATAATTCTAATTAGATTTTATGGACAATCCTTAATATGATGACCACTTAAGTTTATTCCACTACCATCAATGCAGAAGAAGAGGGAGTTGATGAGTGCTAAATCAAGTTCAAGTTCAATTTGAACTTTATAGAACATGCAAGCAAGATATGCTGCTTGTGATTTGAGACTGGAGTGCTATATCATGAAAGAAGAAAATATAGTTGGTTTAGGAAACTGCAATAAAGCAGGAGATGGACTTACCCATTTCAGCCACTTTAATGATTTTTTTCATAGCTAACACTGTCGTCAGACAAACAAAACTATGCATGGACATCAGATGGAGTATATAGAAATCAATTTGACCACATTATTGCTAAAAGCAGGTGGAGGAGCTCAGTTGTAGCATTAGAGACATAGCAAGATGCTGACTGGAATAGATCATGTGCAAGTTCTGAATTAAGCAAAAGAAGAAAAATAAAGCCAATTAATTTCTACAACATGATTTGAACATTTGCCCACCATTTTCAAGGAGAACATCAGGAACCATTCTGAAGTCCTCAACCTCACTGAAAGAGAATCAGAGGAATTATGGAATGAACTTAATGAAATTGTTAAAGATAAATGTGAAAAGAGACTGTCAAAAATGAAGAAAGAGAAGAAAGCCTGTTCTGAACAAATTGGTAATTACTAAAAAGGACAGAAGCCAAAACCAAGAAAGACAAAAATCTCAGGAATTTTATAAAGAGTTCCAAAAAGCAGGATAGAAAGAATATGCTTTTGGACTTTGATGTTGGACAGGACCCCTGGGATTACTGTTGATAGCCAAGAAAGCAAACTAATGGATCATCAAATAAATCAATCCCAATTCTCACTTGAGTCACAAATGACCAAGCTCAAAGTATCCTATTTAGGACACAGTATGTGAACACCTAACTGTAATACTAGAAAAGATGAATATTAGAGTGTATTAATAAAAAGTGAGGTTTTTATATCAAGTTATTTGGCATATAGAAGAAGAGACACATTTTACTGAAGAAGAGTCAATATTGTTTATGCAAGCATAACTAATTGACTTTATTGCTTTTTCCTTAAAAAAGTTTTGTTTCTCATCCAAGAATCTTCGTCAATTCTGAACCGCCATGACCTGATGATTGAGAATTTTCATAGACATAAAGTAATGTCAGAAAATACCTCATAAAACATTTTGAATTTTTATAGCTGTCCATTTATTATTGGATTTTGCTATTTTTTTTCAAAAATAGGGGTCAAATAAAATTTTATTGGCTCTTATAGGTGTTCTTTTGGAGATAAACAATACAAACTTCAAGTGCATACCACTCTTATTTAATAAAAAAAAGTTTATATTTACATTCCCTTGTGAAAATAAATTATTTGTAAATAACGTATTTGATGAAAATTGTTATTTACATTTAATATGAAAAAATAACTTGAGTATATAAATGATTTATGCAGTGTACATTTTTAAATACAGATAGTCCTCAACTTATGGCCACAACTGGGATTGGCAAATTCATCATTAAGCAGAGAGTTGTTAGGTGACATCATGTGATTGCATCCAATTTATGACTTTTTTGCCATGGTTGTTATATGAATCACCATGGTTGTTAAGCAAGATATGTGACTGAAATTTGTGACTTACCCTGCTATATTCCCCATTGGCTTTGCTTGTCATAAACTAGCTGGAAAGGTTGCAAATAGAGACCATGTGACCCTAGGATGCTGCAACTATTGTACATGCAGGCCAGTTGGCAAGCACCTGGATCATGATCACATGACTGCAAGGAAGCTGTGACCATTTTAAGTATGAGGACTGGTCATAAATAACTTGTTTTAGTCCCATTGTAATTTTCAATGGTTGCTAAATGAATAGTTGTAAGCCAAGGATTATCTATCATCTTCCAAATAGAACCCTTGTACAAATATAAAAAGCAGGCTGTGATTTTCAGACCATTGCTTTACAGGCAGAGGATAAGGATGAGTATTTTTTTAAACTCTGTAGTACAGGTATTGATTTCGTCACAACTATGAAAACATTCAATATGCATTATCCATCCATTAATTTTTAAAATAAGAATATGTAATTAAAGAGGAATTAGGAAGCTGCCAATTTTGTATCTTTTTATCATCTATGTTTGGAATACATTTCTTAGTATAACTGTAGTTCTTCCAACATACAAAACTCCACTATGAAAATCTTATACAGTAACATTTTACTGTCTTTAATGCTAATAATTATATAGTTATGATAAAGAAAGATAGAAAAAAGGCAGTCAGGTAAGTTATCTTAACTGGAAAAATTATTAAAATATGGTTTATAAGGGTCCTTTAATTAAGAAAATAGAAAATTAGAATTTAGAATCAATGTAGCTAATCTTGATCTAATCTTGATCTTGGGTTGTATTGTTTTAGTCAGATTGATGCTAACGAGATATATCTCCATATAAGTGTAGAATTAATGGTTTTCCCTAATTTAATAGAGCATATCATCACGGTCCACAAAAACCGAAACCTCAAGCATTCTAGATAAAAAAGATGATGACTTCACAGAGAAAACAGAATTGACACCTACTACACCTTTCCAGGTATATGGATTAAACATTTTATTTCAGATCTCTAAGTAAGTATCTTGGCAGAAAAAAACCTAGTACAATGAAGTGAAACATTGCTTAACTCACATAAATCAAATGTTTCAGGCTATCTCAATGGATTTTTGACACATTACAATATAGGTAGACATTGGGTTACTGCCATTTGTTCAGCAGCTATTCAAAGTTATAATTGTGGTGACTGGATGTTATTTACTATGGGTCTCATAGTTCTGGCAATTGCATTGTCACCATGGCTATGTGACATCACAGTTCATAACAATGTCATTTGGTGATTGGCATTTCTGATCCCAATTGCTATTATAAGCCTATAGTTACGGGAATTGTTGAGGTTCTTACAATCTATCTCATGTAACTGCCTCTAACGTATAACCAACCATTTTTAAACACTCATTTGCAGGGATAAAAAAAAAAAAGATCTCTTTCAATAATATCTGCTGTTTTAATCATAGCATGCTGTTTAAATATCATCTGCCCCATCTAGGAAAAAAGATGGCCACCTCCAAATGCACTTCAAAAATACCTATTTTATAGAAAAATGCCTTTTCCTGTTGAATAAATTTCATTTGTGTAGTTAACTTTTTCTGATTTCTTAGCTTGGTGTTAATAGCTGTTGTATTAGCTTTCAACATACCCCCCCCCCAATTTGTTTTTAGTAGGCCACATCATTTTACAATATATCACAATACTAGTTATGACATAACACTGGAAAAGTTCTTTCTGTGCATATCAACATTCTGGTAACCCTCACCATTAATTTGCTTTAGAGCTTCATTTTAACAGTGAATTACTGAAAGTTGATAGTTTGATAACTTGTGTGTGAAAATATAGAGAGCTAATATATTTCTTAAATCTGAAGATTCTTTTCTAAGAACACAAAGCAACAAACACAACCTATTTTAACATTCTAATATTAGGATTATACAAGAGTGCCAAGGCAGGAGAGTACAGACTTGGAGTGGCTGGTAAGACTTCGTTGCCCAAGAACTCAAATGGAACAGTTGATGCCAGATCTGAAGCAAGTAGGTTTGGTTGTCAATATATCAACATTTTCCAGTACAACATCATCAGATAAATATTTTAATGGTAGAAATTTACAACAGTAAAAGCGGAGTTTCATCTTAGAGACATTTTTTAAAAATCTAGTTAATAATCATAAAAGTTCTAATCTAATACATACTTTTCCAATTTAAGTGAAATACATTTTCATTTTTAAATGTTCTTAATGGGGAAAAGTATGACTAAGGATACAAACTTAACTTTATCTTGCATTAAGGCCCATTGATATTACATCCAAATAGTTTTCTAGGTTACTAACTAATTTGACTCTGACAAGCAGATCAGATGGCCTTAGAAAAGCCATTATGTGTCAGGTCTCAATCTGTAACATAAGGCTTGCCATACTGTCATACCTTTAAAGGTATGTGAAGTTTTGAAATCTTCAAATGTTCAGCTCCATCCGCTGCTAAATTTATTGAATTTTTTTTTTTATGTGGATAAAACAATGTGTAGCTCATCAAGTCCAGAAGAAAAGTAAGCATTTTAAAATAAATATGCTGCATTTTCTTTATCTGCATTGTTATGTATATATACCTTACAATCCCACAGTTTGGTCTTGTTTTGTGTTATTTTATGCGAAAGAAAGATCACATAGGTTACTATTAAAATGCGGATTGAAGCCAAATGTGGTGTCCAAATTTCAGGAGAGTACATATATATAGCTAGGATGTATTTCTTATGAAGGTAATCATAATTATTCAATGTGCAGTAAAAGAACAAAATGTGGTGACCTAAAGGAAAGGAAGAGATGAGACAAAACAAAAGCTGAGTTTTTACACTAGCTTCATTTATTATATTTTATCCTTTTTTATCCATTGCAAATTACCTTTGCTTTCTCCACATTCCTTAGAGTTCTCTCTGTTTTTGAAGATCTCGTGAACTCAGTGCAACCATGACATTTTTTTTGGTCTTCCGCTTCCTAATCCATTTATTCATCATATTTGTGTTTTGCAATTTGATCCTCATTCATTCTCTCTATGACCAAATTATGTCAACATATAGTAAATACTTCTTTCAGTCCTGTCCTTTGCTTTTTTATTCAATCAACATTCATTCAGCATCCTTTTTCAAATTATTCCTATTATATTCTATTTACTTTTATCTCTCCTTGATATATTGACTCTCACTTCCTTAAAACAAAGTGGGCACAAGCTTCTTTGACAAACATTCATTCCTTATTGCAAAGCATGTATTATCTACTACAATCTTTCTATTTGTATTTAAACATCCATTTTCTCCTTTTCTTTCTGTTAAGATATACACATTCATTTACTTCCCATAATTTTTCACATTCTATTATAATTTGCAGTTGTCAATTCATTGTTCTTTGATATAATAATTTTCAGATCTGTGTTTTCAGTGTATATTACTGTTCGTCTGACATTCATTGCAAAACATTTGGTTCTTAACCAATAAAATAGCATTTTCTGCATAATAAAAATATGTGCATGTTCACATCTCTCCAACCAAAATAACCTTTAACACCACCACAAACATTTTTATACATTTGTCCATAAATATATTAAGCAACTAAGAAGACCCCACCTATCTTTGTCTTACTCCTTGCTCAATATTCAATTACATGCTGAGTATTTCTTTTATTTTTATGCTTGCTTTCCTTCCATTATGAGCAGAAATTCTTTGATTATCCACATATGCTGCTTTTCATTTTAAGGACTTTTTAAAAAGACCTATGATAAAAATTAAATGGAACCCACAATATATTGTAGTTTCCTAATTTGAACTAATATTTGAAAGTAAAATATATACATACATAGTATGGTATTCTTTGTATGGGTATGCTTGATTTTTGATTGCTAAAAATTTTATTCATTCATTTGGTTTTTTTTCATTTTTCAAATAAGTCTTTTCCAGGAACTACTACTAAATTTCTGAGTAAATCACAGAGCAAAGTTTGCGGAGGAAGTCAATCTGAAAAGACAAAAACTTCAGAGAGTTGGCTAACACAGAAGCATCTGTCCATTGCACAGGTACCAAAGTATTGGGGGCACTGAATAGAGACAAAAATCAATAACTGGTGATGTTTTGTTACCTCATAGCAAAGTGCATGTTTCAAAAGGCCTTAGAAGGCAAACAGTCCATTCTTTGAGTTCCATGCAGTTTATTGAATGTGCTTGCTGGCGATTAGAAGAAATTGAATTCCTGCCTGCTCTTACTACAAAAGGGTTGTAACATAATCAAAATGCAAACCACAGTCTCTTTCTCATATTGTGGTTGCATTTTACAATACTTTTTAAAGTACATAATTGATTTGAATATATATATGGGAGTAAGATTTAACAGATTAATTCTAGCATGCAGAGCCACAGATGGTAAGGAGGTGGACATGGCCTCTGTCTCTACAGAAAAGAGCTTTGCTTGTGATGGGACATGTCTTTCACAGAGATGCCAGTAGAATGCTTCATCATCTTTTCCTAATATGGGTTTTCCCCAGCAACAGATCCCCAACTGAAGATGTTCTTCTTCTTTTCATATATCATATTCATATATCATATAAAAGACTCAGTAATGGGCTCCTCCCACTCCATAACCTTTCATAGCCACTTGGTTAATTTGCTTCCAATAATTATTTGCTCTGAATATGATTAACAATAGCCATCAAGCTCCTATTCATCCTTTGTAGTTTCTTCAGTACTGCCCTCAATCTATCAATTACTCATGATCAACACTAAGATTGCTTCATTTGGCTTTTTGAAGAAAAGTGAAGATGATTTTTCTCAATTTGATCTTTAGAGTTGTAGACTTGTTTTCATGTTGTTTTCATATTTAAATATTGTTTTAAATATTTAATTTAATCATTTTAATATACATATTATTTAATTTATCAAATTTAATATATTATTGGTAATACATATAGAAAATGGTGTATTATTATGGTAATAAAGAGTAAGGAAAACAGCTATATTGAGGCAGATTTTTTAATTGTTACCTTCTTATCATTACATATATAAAGCATCATAGAATATTTAATTGTTCTCTGGAGAATTATACTGAATTTGCCCTAAGTGTAGGGCAACAGATTATTAAAATGTTTATTGCAAAATTTATAAATACTCTATTCCAAATTACTTCGGGGATTTTAAAGCATTTTAAATTGACATTTATAATAATCAAAATCAAATCTTCTTTTAAACTATGCTATAGTTCAGGTAATATTAATAATTAATTCATTCATTGTATCGTATAAAGCTGATCTGTTTATAAAATTATTTTTAATAAGTATGTTTAATATAGTAGTTCACATTCACAGATTTTACTGATATTTTATTAGGCTTTAGTTAATGAAAGCCAAGATGTTATTGGTCCCATTCAGTTGCTGCTGGAAAGAGAAAGCTGCTTTATAAGGGTAAGAAATAAACATTGCTCGCAGTGTAACTTTCTGATGATTGAGGAAGACATAAAAATGCTTGGACCAGAAATGCATACTTGTAACCGTCATGTAAGAAGAGAAGACCTTGTTTTTTGATTGTTGGAAATCTTACTGTGAAATAGCAATTTTCTATAAAAATATGGAATAAAAACATCAGTGTTAAGTCTTCTCCCTCCCCCAATATCCATACTTTCTTGACAAAAATCACCCAAATGAAAAAGGTTGTAAAATATTTTGTTCCTGGTCATTTAGAAAAAGGTTGTTACAAGCTTAAATTGTCAGTACTGAAGTGTCTTTTAAATCTAATCCTTTTCAGCTGTAGGTCTAATAGCTTTTCCAAGGAGTAGTGGCCTGCTGTTGGTCATTATGGCTTGCAGTGCTGATAGCTGGAGGCAGGGGTGTCAAACAGGTGGGCCAGATACGTCACGCACAGGACACGCCCAGCTCCACAAAGGGGAAACATTGCAAAATGTCACATGACGGCAACGTGACGCTGCAAGTTTGACACTCGTGCTGTAGGGCATCACATCTGGAGGATTTTAAATAGGGGAAGGGTGACGTAGACTTTATAACTATTAGGTTAGTATTTAGCTTAATTGAAGCTTGTGAGCTTGTTTCGAAAGGAAAAAAGGAGGAGAAAATAGATAGATAAAAATTGGATTTTTTAAAAAAGAGATGGGTATTGGAGTTATCCATGTCTCCCTCCTTGCTCCAGTGCCAAGATACCCTCTTTATTGTTAGTCAAGGACATTTTTCTCCCAACAGAATCTCTTCCTCAGTTCTTACTTATTTCTGAGTCAGGGTAAAGGTGGATCAAGGTTATGTAGTGGTAAAGTGGGGTTTTCCATTGGAAAACAATACAATGCAAACATCCTGATTCTTATGGAGGAAGAGCCAGAAGGCAGTCAGTGATCTTCAAGGTTTATGCAGGACTTCTCCCTCCCAGCTAGGCATGGGGATTGGCGTTTCTCTGGTTGGTGTATTGATATTAGAGAAAACAAAATTTGCCTGAGCATCAAAGGGAATGTTTTGTCCATGAAATACCAATTTCATAGAAGATGTTGCATGAGATTGATATTCCTATTTCTATCCAAAAGGGCCTCATTGTTCATCCTAATTCTGGGCCTCACATTTGTGTCCTGTTATCAATGTGCAACAGTATTTTTGTCACTTCTCCAAACAGTTTCTCTAATCCATTAAGGAAAACACATCACTAGTGGTAACGGGAAAAGCTCAATTTCATGTTTGAGATCTATCATAAAATTGATATATTCTTATGATACTTTTATCTAGGAAACTTTTATCTGTATTGTCCTCTCTGTATTATTCATTTGCATCCTGCCTTTATTAGTAATTTTGTCAAATATCTCAAGGCAGTGAACATACCTGATACCTTTCCTCCTCCTGTTTTCTATACAACAACAGCCCTGTGAGTTGAGTTAGGCTGTGTGAGAGAGATTGGCCCGTTTGCTTTCATAGCTGCTTTCTCCTGCTTTCTTAATCAGGTTCCTTAACACTAGTTTATGTTTTTATTTATTATTTTTATTCATTCCCTTTGTGACAGATTAGTCTTAGCTTTTCCAAATTTGCCTTGACATAGCTAATAGTGGTCATGTAAGTCTCTAGTATTAGAGATCACGAGAGCTAGTTTGGTGTAGAGATTAAAAGTTCCAGGCTACAAACCAGGAGATTGTGTGTTCTAGTCCTGCTTTAGGCATAAACCCAACAGGATGACCTTGGCCCAGTCACTTTTTCTCAGCCTTGAGAAGGAAGCAAAGCCAAATCATGTCTGAAACACCTTGCCAAGATAACTGCAGGGACCTATCCAGGCAGTCTTCAAAAGTTGGACATGATTGAACAAAGTAAAAAAGATACGACGTATTTCAAGTTTGATTTCATATTCAAGCTATTGGAAAAACATGAAATGAGTTGTGGTTCTGGAGCTGTAGCCAGGGAATTCAATGCATAATTTTGAGAAATATTAAATGTAGGAGTGAGAAATCTATAGCTCTTCAGGTACTACTGAAATACAACTCCTAGGAACAACAGCTTACATGCCAACAATACCTGTAGTGCTATAGATTACCCATCGCAAATAGCCCCAAGAATAATCTTATGTTTATTTGATCTTTTTTTCAATTATGATAAGGCAACCTTATCTAAAAAGAAAAAAAAGGTTAGAAAAGTTAGATTCTCTTAGGTATATCAACAGCCATTAACACTAAATAGAATAGAGCTTTGACTGATAACCTGTATGTTTTATATCCCTTAAATAGTTTGATATTCTAGTCTTTCTTGTCAAGGTAAATATTACACAATTTTAGTTAAGAAGACTCAGGCCTGTATCTGGCTGCTATATATATTTAAAAAGTCCAACAGATAAATTATATATCTGTAGCAAATCAGATGTTTATATTCGAGTATCAATAATTGGTTTCCTGTAGCAATTGCATGAAATTGCAATGGTTTGTAGGCACCAGTGATACATATTTTAAATATACAAGTGTTGTCTTTGGAGGGATGTTATATTTATTACTAGTCTTTCTCAATTTCTATGGATTATTTATACTGTCAGATTTGTTTTAAATGTTCATTATTTATTCAAAAACTACATTTGTTAATAATAGTTTCTCTGTTAATTAGGAAGTAGACAGGTATTTGAAGCACAATGATTTCTTAGCTCTAAGGAGAAGGGAAATGCTGTACAAGAAATGGTTTGAAAGTGTTTCAAGACCTCTGCTTCAGAAAATTCAGGACAAAGTTGACAACCAGTCAAGCAAAGAAATAGAAGAGAGGAAGCGAAAACAGCTCTCCCTTTATCTAAACTATTGTAATGAGAAGGTATCAGAAAAGAAAAGCTGTTATTACTACAAGACATTGGGAAGCTGTTTGCAAAACGATTGGATTTGTGATTTTGGATGAAAACTGAAATTATTACTAGCTGTATAGAAGTTATAATTATTTTAACAGTAATATCTGAGGGAAATGTGTTGTTTATTGTGCCAGTTTAGAATAACACGATTAGAATTTCATTTCATTATTTTTTAAAATTTCAATAGATAAAGCAGTGGTAGTAAACCTTTTGGGCCTTGGTATCAAAATTGGGAAAATACCTAACTTGACTCTTCTGGTGTGTCAATCAAAAAGAAACAATTTTCAATATAACCCCCCCAGCCCCCACCCCCACCCCCATCTAGGCCACATTCAATAGTGGCACTCAGCATTGAGGCTGAGAAGCAGAAGCCTGGGCCTCACATTGAGCCCTTAATGAGAATCCAGATTGTTGGGGGCAATGTGCTGACTCTGTAAACCACTTAGAGAGGGCTATAAAGCACTATGAAGTGGCATATAAGTCTAAGTGCTATTGCTAATGCTACTACTGTCACTTCAAAAAAGCCACATTCCCAAAGGACATAAGCCTTGGCATAATTGCCCACACTATGCGGCACTCCCCAGGATCTGCTGCAGGGCACTTATCTTCAAGTAGTGCTCTCTTTCTGTTGACAGGCCCCTTCCTGCAGTCTACCGGCTCCAGGTTGCACAAGGCCTTCATTCTTGAAGCAGTTTTGGAGAACGCTCTTCCATGGACTTTACAGCCTCTGGAAACTGGAGACCTCTCATTCTCATGCAATTTTCAGAGGCTCTGGGGACTCTATGAGGGCCCAGCCCTTTCGTATGACTTCTGGAGGGTTCAGAGAGCACACCACATTCTCATGCAGCCTCTGGAGCCTTAAATTCTTCAGGAATGGGACATGCTTTCGAGAACATTTGTTGTTGATGAAGCCAAAAGGTCACGGTGTGTCACACATGTTGTAGATTAGCCATCACTGAAATGGGTCTAGGACAACTCAGCATGGCCAGCTCACCACTGCCAAGTTGCCTTTGCCAACTCACCATCATCAAGTCACCACAGGACAACTCCACATGGCCAACTTGCTGCAGGTGGACAGAGGGAGAGCTAGGTTGGCAGGTGAGCAACCGGGTGAGCAGAGCGGCTCGCACTGCCGCTCTCACCACACTGAGCTCCAGGCCAAAGAGGCTGGGGACAGCGGTGGCAGCAGGATGTGTGTGAAAATGAGATGCGCTGTGATGCCATCGCCTCTCTGCCACCCACCCTGCACATCACTGCCACCACCATCTCTGGTTTGTTTGGTCCAGAATGCAGTAGCAAAGCTGATGTATGTGAAAATGGGAAACTCCTGCCCATTGCTCTGCTCTGCCTACCCACTCGCTCACCTGCCAACCTGGTTCTCCCTCCCTCCACCTGCAGTACTGTACTCTCCCTCTAGGTGACAACAGTGAGTTTGCCTGCGCAGCTGTCCTTTAGTGACCGTGGTGGTGAGTTGGAAGAGGTGACTTGGTGATGGTCAGATGGTCCTCCGAGCTGGCCGCACCAGGTTGTCCTATTCCACACTGAAACAGAGTAACTTGCCGCATGTTTAAAGTGAGGCAGAGATCATTGGAAATTGAGGAAATGAAGCCTGCTCAAACAGGTCATTATATATCATATATTCTGAGAATTCATTGAGCTCTGGTGATGCCTTCCTGTAAAAAACCTTCAGCATTACCTCGGTTGAATAGACAAGTGTGGGATTTCAACTAATCAAAAGCATGTTTTCTTGTGAACAGAAGATCATTTTATTTTATTTTGCACTTAGAGTGAAACAAGATGCCTGTGTGTAGGAATATAACAAGGCAGACACCAAAGTTTGGCAGCCTGTCCTCATATCTCACTTATAATGATGAAGATCCTGGCCCTTAGTAGTTGCTTATTTGCATGCACTGACATTTGCTGCACTTCAGGGTGAGCCTGGGATTCTCTGTTATGTTTGCTTTTTCTGTAGATGGGTGGAAAATAAAATGGGGAAGGGAAAGTTATATTTTTAACTCTATAAGATCTGTTTTAGAGAGAAAAAATACTTTATATGATATATATAATGTATTTAGCAAGCTTATTAATTTCCTTTTGGGTTTATCAAGATGAGTGGTTGATTTTTTTCCCCTTGAAATAATTGAATCTGTGCCAAAGACTTTATATGGCAAGGAGCAAAAACGTAGTGGCACGATTTGTGTGGAGGCAGCCATCTATGGTATCTGTGAAAAGAAGACAAACTGCCTGCTTGTAAGAAAAGACAAGGGAGAATAACTTGCGGAGCAAACCAAGCGGAATTCTTCACTCTAATCTACAACATCAGTGAAGTGCATGGAACTCATAACTGAAGAATGGGGAAAAAGACCAGTTATAAGACTTGAACCAGCACATATAGAAAGTTGGATTTAAGTTGCCCTCATGGACTCATTGCACATGGACTCATTGCACAGCTTTGAACATATAGTATGGGTAGTCCTCAACTTACAACCCTTTGTTTAGTAATAGTTTGAAGTTATAATGGCATTGAAAAGAGTGACTTATGACTGTTTTTCACACTTCCAACTTTGCATCATCCCCATGGTCATGGGATCAAAAAAATTTGGATGCTTGGCATGTGTTTACGGTGGTTGCAGTGTCTCGGGATCACCTGATCACCTTTGGCAAACTCCTGATGAGCAAAGTCAATGGGGAAGCCAGATTCTTTTAATAACTGAGTGATACACTTGTGGCATTTGTGGCAAGAAAGGCTGTAAAATGGGGCAAAACTCACTTAACAACTGCTTTGCTTAGTAACAGAAATTTTGGGCTCATTGTGGTCATAATTTGGGGATTACCTATATAATCTCAGAAAGTCAAAACTAGTCAGGTTATTTTACTTATTACAGATTTTTCAATTGGAGTACTGACATATTTTGAGCCTCCTAGTAAAATTCCCAGGGTCTGACTTGGGGGAGTAGAAACTCCTTGCTACCGTCAACATAAGTAACCATAGTTATTTCTATTCTTGGCTTATTTTGCTTCATTCAGCAAAATCACCTTCCATTCCCTCAGACACGATATTTACTGAAAAAAATCACATATATACAAGTATGTGTGTACAATTGGCTAATCTCCATTTACGTATGCAGTATATATAAATGCAGACCACATATTAGACTTCTGTTTTATTTGGGTTCCTGATTTGCTATATTTATTGTCCCGAAATGTTTGAATAAATTTCTCTTTCTATCTATCACATATAGTCTTGGAGGCAATATCGATGAGTAATCCTCAAAAGGCAAAAATAGAGATTTGCAACTATGAAAAATAAGATTTATAATAAATGATTAGAAAGGGTGTACCATTTCGATATATGTGCATCTTAATTAACACGTGATTGGATTTGTATATAAAACTGCATTCTGTCATTTCAAAGTTTATTATTTCAGTCTTACTTAATTGCCTTTGGCAGTAAGAAAGAATGAAACTTGTCCTTGACTTTCTACTATTATGTAGTATATTTTAACATTCTATGCTTTTCTGCTCATATATTTGTTTTCTGCTTTCCTTGTATTTTTCCTTCTACTAGGCTTCTTCTGCTCCAGGATCCTCAGTCTCATTATGTGTGCTCCTTCCTCCATTTCACCCACTTTTTGAGTCCCAGAGTCCTCCCTATAGTTCCTATTTCCCCTCTTTTCTTCCTCCGTTTCCCTTCTCTCTCCTTTCCATCTCCCCATCTGCCTCCCCTCCAATTATCGTTCTCCCCTCAGTCTTACTTCCTCCATCTGTTCCATCTCATTTCTTTCATTTGCTTCCTCCATTTCCCCCTTACCTCCATTCACCCTCTATTTTTTTCCCTTCACCTTTCCTACAGCTATCCCCCACAGAACTGGTCAGTTCTCCAAATGCTTTGTCATCTCTCCCAAAATCAGTAGTTCCCCCTACCTCATCTCCTGTCCTTCAGTCATCTGCTCCTTCAGCCATGGATCGTTCTTCGGCCTCACAAAATCCTCCAGATCCCGAACCAAAATACGGTTGTGACTTCAGTGCTTATCATTCCCATAACCCTTTCTTCCTCCCCGTACTTCCACCTATCCAGTCACAGAGGAGGTATCAAGCCCGGCAGAAGAATACTGACAGTGTTAAATATCCCTGAAGACAGAAGATGCTTTGGGTTTCCTTCAGTGCTCTGACCCTTAAATAAAAGCCAGTTTTCTACGGTAGACCAGATTCAAGTGTTTATGGTTGCAATGCTTCCTAAATGTTCCTTGAAAATGACTGATGATTTAGGGGACTCAGGATTCACTGCCAATTGTATTTTAAGCACCATGGAGTGAAAAAAAAAAAGAACCAAGAGATTGTGTAATTATGGATTTTATGTATTGTCTGCCCACATAATATTGTTTTTTTCCTTAATGTTTGTAAGGCTGTGGACTCTGAAGCAGGAATATATGCTATATTTTTTGTTTAGTGGGATATAGTTCTTGTAAATCTATATAAGGCATAACATAAAAATCTTACCTGGGATTATTTATTAAAGATATCCAGCTGTAGGCGAAATTTCATCACTGCCAATGGATTTGGCTTCAAGGTCATTTATAATGTAAATATGCTGTATAACAGGCAAAAAAAATTCATGAGGCTGCCTCATTTTTGTAATGGAGAATTCTAGAGCCCATTCCTAGAAGTGCAGTTTGCAAGGCTCCTTAGTTCAGATATTGAAATATGTCTTAACAAATGAGCTTAGAACAAATAAAAATTCGTTTGAAATGTGGCTTACATCTCATTCTAAAACTAAACCATCATTCTTCAACTTATGTGTTATATTTAAATTTATTTTAAAAGCTTGCTTAGTCATGGTAACTTTTTTCTTTTTCAGAAAAAGAAGTTAAGCTTTGCCTTATCAGAACTATGGCATATATAAAGGGAATGATTAAACATTTCCTTCACATTTTTTATCTGCTGAAAATATCCCTAAACATGCCTACATATATATTTTTCTATGAAATTATCATTTTCTGCAGTGTGGCAGGAAGAAAGGATGGAGAGGAAATAGTTAACCTCCCTCCCTGTTGGTCCCCATACACATTAGAATAGAATTAGAATTAGAATATAGAATAGAATACATAGAATAGAATACATAGAATAGAATAGAATAGAATAGAATAGCTTATTGGCCGGATGTGATTAGACCCAAGCTCCTTTTTCAGGAGGGGAAAGGTCTCTAGTGATTAAAATAAAGCCCTCCAAAAATATGCTTTGTGGAAAGTGTAATTTGGTCCTTTCTGTCTCAAATAACTAAAATTTCTTCTAAAAGGGTCCATTAATTTATAGGTAAAGGGCAATTGCCCTCTGAAAACGTCAACCTCGGTAATGCTGAAAAGGTGTTGGGGCTTCATTTAATACAGTTTGTGTAGTAACTAAAATACTTGGTTTTTGTATTGCCTTGAATGAATCCTTTCCTATAAAATGGATAAAAGTATCATGATTCAGTGTTGGTGATTCACACTGCTGATACAAATAAACTCGTATGTTATGAAAAGATGTTTCATAAGATGTTGTGAAAATTGGGACTATAAGAGTAATTTTTGGAAGATATTTGTATTAGATGTTATTTAAGTTATCAAACAGGAAACACTAATTCTCTACTCTGAAGTAATAATATGTGATGGCCACAGGTTCACCAAGTGCTCTTTCTACTCACTCAGGGAGGTGCATTTTTAGAAAGTTATAGTCCATCATCTTATGATCCTTTCTTCCTGAAGACTACTCCAGACTTGTGGAAGGTGAGAGAGGCTGTGCATTCCCATTTTCCTGGTGAGCTCTTGTTGACTTCTTTTTCTTAGCCTTTTGGACTGGACTTTTGAAGGACAGGCTTGGGTTAGATATTTTGAAAAAAGAGATGGAAAATACCTCACAGGTAAATGGGTAGTTCTGGGATTATCCTCCTTGCTACCAGAATTTAAATAAGGACACATCATTGTAGAGCTGGTCTTGCCTTTCCTGCGAAGATTCTCACCTTTCCCCCTTCCCATATTTAGAGCATATGCAGTTCTTCCCAGTTTCTGGCTGCTTAAATAAAATTGACTTGTAATTTCTAAGAGCATAGGAGGGAAGAACCATAAAGACAAAGACAATATGTTACATACTTGAAATGGATGTTGCTTGTAACTGCTAAAGTATAATTTACATGGTCTGACAGAGCAGTTGGAGAATAGCACATCACACTAGTTCACCTTGTTTGCCTCTCTTTGTGTAAGTCTTTTAAACAATGGTGAACAGGTTTCAAGGTTCAGTGTTCAGGCTTCTAAATGCTCCTTGATGCCTATAGCAACTGAACTACAGGTAGTCTTCAACTTACAAACAGTTCATTTAATGACCATTCAAAGTTATAATGGCACTGAAAAAAGGGACTTACAATTGCTTTTTACACTTACGACCACTGCATTATTCCCATGGTCATGTGATCAAAATTCAGACACTTGGCAACTGGTTCATATTTATGATGGTTGTAGTGTCCCAGAGTCATGTGTTCACCTTTTTGTGACTTTCTGACAAGCAAAGTTAGTGGGGAAGCCAGATTACAACCATGTTACTAAGTGCAGTGATTCATTTAACAACTGTGGCAAGAAAGGTTGTAAAGATTGTAAAATAGGGCTCACTTAAAACTCCCTTAACTGCCTTGGCAACAGAAATTTGGGGCTTAACTGTGGTCATAAGTCAAGGACTATCTGTATAGGTCTGAATAATTTGATGTCATGAAGTATTGAAATATGAATAGAAGCTGTTTTTCCCCCCTCTAGGCATCAGTTCCTCCTTTACATGATCCCTTGTTAAAGGAAATAGAAGGAAGATACATTGAAGCCAGCATTATGCAGCAGTGTGAAACAGGTTCTTTTTTCTTTTTTTTCTTTTCTTTTTTCTGTTTGCTTCTGATCATCTTCAGGTTTAATGTCTGAGACTTTAAAGACCCTAGACCAGAATTTTGAATGGTTCCCTCTATTTCTCTTTTGCATTAAATAGTATGGCCAATTTGAAAATATTGGAAATGGTTTGCACAATGTGATATATACACTGCTCAAAAAAATAAAGGGAACACAAAAATAAGACATCCTAGATCTGAATGAATGAAATATTCTTAGTAAATACTTTGTTCATTACGTAGTTGAATGTGCTGACAACAAAATCACACAAAAATTATCAATGGAAATCAAATTTAGCAACTCATGGAGGTCTGGATTTGGAGCTACACTCAAAATTAAAGTGGAAAAAAACACTACAGGCTGATCCAACTTTGATGTAATGTCCTTAAAACAAGTCAAAATGAGGCTCAGTAGTGTGTGTGGCCTCCACATGCCTGTATGACCTCCCTGCAACACCTAGGCATGCTCCTGATGAGGTGGCGGATGGTCTCCTGAGGGATCTCCTCCCACACCTGGACTAAAACATCCCCCAACTCCTGGACAGTCTGTGGTGCAACGTGGCGTTGGTGGATGGAGTGAGACATGGTGTCCCAGATGTGCTCAATTGGATTCAGGTCTGGGGAACGGGAAGGCCAATCCATAGCATCAATGCCTTCGTCTTGCAGGAACTGCTGACACACTCCAGCCACATGAGGTCTAGCATTGTCTTGCATTTGGGGGAACCCAGGGCCAACCGCACCAGCATATGGTCTCACAAGGGGTCTGAGGACCTCATCTCGGTACCTAAATGCAGCTTTCATCTGTGAAGAGCACAGGGTGCCAGTGGCGAATTTGCCAATCTTAGTGTTCTGACCATTTGAGCAGCCACATGCACATTTGTGGCCCGCTGGAGGTCATTTTGCAGGGCTCTAGCAGTGTTCCTCCTGTCCCTCCTTGCACAAAGGCAGAAGTAGCGGTCCTGATGCTGGGTTGTTGCCCTCCTATGGCCTCCTCCATGTCTCCTGATGTACTGACCTGTCTCCTGGTAGTGCCTCCATGCTCTGGATACTACGCTGACAGACACAGCAAACCTTCTTGCTAGAGCTCGCATTGATGTGCCATCCTGGATGAGCTGCACTACCTGAGCCACATGTGTGGGTTGTAGACTCCGTCTCATGCTACCAATAGAGTGAAAGCACCGCCAGCATTCAAAAGTGACCAAACCATCAGCCAGAAAGCATAGGACCTGAGAAGTGGTCTGTGGTCATCACCTGCAGAACCACTCCTTTATGGGGGATGTCTTGCTACCTGCCTATGCTTTCCACCTGTTGTCTATTCCATTTGCACAACAGGATGTGAAATTGATTTTCAATCAGTGTTGCTACCTAAGTGGACAGTTTGATTTCACAGAAGTGTGATTGACTTGGAGTTACATTATGTTGTTTAAGTGTCCCCCCCCTTTTTTTTTGAGCAGTGTACATCAAATGGTATGTTTGTAATTTAGGGCTGGGATGGGGAGATTGGATTTGTCTCAATATTGTACAGGGGTTTTTTTAATCAGAAAGTTTGCTTAATGAGGAAGAAAAAGCCTTTCTTCTATATGCCTTGCAACTTTCCACAGGAAAAGTATATTCCTCTAAAGATATTCATGAACTACACAAGACTGAGTTACCACCACTTCCTTTGGGTCGGCAGCTTATAAATCCCACAGAGTGGCTGAAAATCCCATTCCAGTATATGGAAAGTGATGTCCGTAAAAAATGCAGGTAAAGTTTGAGAAACTTTTACATTTTAAAAATTTATTTTCTGTTGAATAACAATCATATATAAAAGTTGATTATGAAGCTAGCAAAGGCACTGCGGGCCGGTCCTTCACTGTTTCCAGGGCAATCCCGCAGGCCAGATCTAAGCACCCCACAGGCCAGATCTGGCTCATGGGTCTTGAGTTTGACATCCCTGAAATAATAGAATCTCTTCGTGTGATGAGGCTCAGGTCTTGTTCTTCTGAATGTTGCTTTGTTTCACTTTGTCAGAACCAAATGTAGTTCTTCATGATAGCCTGTATATCCACCTGTAGCTAGCCACAAAGCTATCAAGATGACATTTGCTCTTTTATACTTGTACTTCACCATGCAAGGTCAAAAGGGTTTGTTGATTGTTGAGATGCATATCTTGCTGCTTTTCTGTATCCATGGATGGATGAGTATATATTTTAAGGCGAGGAGTCTTGGGAGTCAGATGCCTGCTTGGTTGCTTCTAGAAATATATATGTCCCATTTTGTTTTAAATTACATGTATCATTTAAAACAAAAACACTAACAAAAGAAGGCCCATTTAATCGGTCACTTTAGTGTGGATGCTATTCCCTGTTTGGAAATGAGTAGTTATTTGAAAATACATATGATGGCTTATAAGATAGCTGAAGACTATTACAAAAATACTTCTAGTTATAATTGGCCTTTGGTGAATTTAACAGGATAACAAAGTTGGAAGGGACCTTGGAGGCATTCTAATCCAAGCCCCTGCTCAAGCAGGAGACCCTATACTAGTGATGGCGAGCCTATGGCACACATGCTGGAAGTGAGCCATCGCCCCAGATCATGTGCACTTGGCATGCGCCTCCCGCCAGCCAGCTGATTGTCAGGCATCTACTGCTCATGTGCGGGGGGCACACAGGAGATGCGCACGCATGGGGGGGTTGCGTGCACATGCGCAGGGGGTTAGCGTTGCATGCAGTGCATTGTGGGTGCAGGCGTGCGCGTGCATGTGTGCACTTTCGGCACACAAAGACGAAAAGTTTAGCCATCATTGCCCTGTACCAGTGGTGGCTAACCTTTTGGGCTCCTGTGCCAAAAATTGTGCGTGCGCTTGCACACGCGCACTCAAGTGCCAGCACTCAGAAGGCAATGCGCGCCCCTCCCCACGTCCCCTACGCATGCATGCACAATCCCCCACCTCCCCACCGCCTCCTTACCTGCACTGCGCCTCACAGCTGATTTTCGGCCGGTTTGAGGCCTTTTTTGGCCTCCCAAAGGCTTAAGGAAGGCTTGTGCAGGCTTCTATAAGCTTTGTAGGCCGAAACCTAGCCCCATTTCCTGTTTTTTTGAAAATACCAGAAGTGATGAAATGGGGCTAGATTTCCGCCTACAAAGCTTGTAGAAGCCTGCAGAAGCCTTCCTCAAGCCTTTGGGAGGCCAAAAAAAGGCCTCAAACCGGCCAAAAATCAGCTGTGAGGCGCACACATGCACAGTGAGGCAAGTTTGCCTGCAGCTTGCGGGCCGGCACAAATGGCACTGCGTGCCACCTGTGGCATGCGTGCCATAAGTTCGCCATCACAGCTCTATACCATTCCAGACAAATGGCTGCCCATTCTCTTCTAAAAACCTCCAGTGATGGAGCACCCACAACTTCTGAAGACAAGCTGTTCCACTGGTTAATTGTTCTCACTGTCAAGAAATGTCTCCTTAATTCTAGGCTGGATCTCTCCTTGGTAAGCCTCCATCCATTTACTCCTTGTCTTACCCTCAGGTGCTTTGGAGAATAGGTCAACCCCCACTTCTGCATGACAGCCCCTCAGATATTGGAATGTTGCTATCATGTCACCTCTAGTTATTCCTCTTCATAAAGTTATACATATCCAGTTCCTGCAACTTCATTGAAGCTTGCAAATTTTCTTACAAAATGTGTTTGCAAATTTGTTGAAGTTTGTGTATTTAATAGATACATGGTAAACTGAAATTCTTATTCTACACACTAACAGCCTCACAATATGACACTTCTTTCTTTGTGTCCAGCACCGGTGTCTCAACCTTGGCGGCTTTGAGATCAATTGGGAGCCAAAGTTTTCATATCTCCAAGTTGCTAAGGTTGTGAATTACTGATTTAACACAATTGCCATTTTGGTGTATCTCCTCTATAGGCCATTTTGTGGTCTATCTACACATAAAGTGGGAGGCCTACTCAGCCTAAATTACGCTTTAAAGCAAGTCATGTTTTTGGGGACTTTTGCTATTAGTAATTTGAAAGAGAAATCCTGTCAGAAGTTTATTGAAAACTGTTTAGGAAAATTTAAAAATCTACCTGAAGTGTGAAATCACATCCTTAGATATAAGGCTAGTTTTTATTTGTTTAAAAAACTGTGACTTTTGAGGAACAGTTGTGAAATTTCCCCCCCAAATAAGATAAGTGAGGAGAAATTAAATTCAGATTTGCCAGAAAAAGAATTATATGAAACTGTAGAGGGAAGGGAGCATTTTATCCAAGCTAAGATAAAGTGGTTTCTTGGAGGAGGAATTTAATGAACTATCAGTGAACATAGTAAAGATCTCTGTGTATTGCACAGAATAGAATTGCGAATATTGTGTGCAGGACAGTATGCCAGATAATGATATTGGTGTATTAGTAATAAAAACATTGATTAAAAATCCCAGGATGTTTTTTAGATATTAATATTAAACAGTAACCACATGTATGAAGTTCTTAAACCAGACAAGTGCTTTCTTTTCATTAGTCACAGAGTAATCCTTTTGTCCAATCTATTTTCATAAAAGAATATCAATGTTATTAATTTTACCTTGGAAGAAGTCTGTGGGATAGACATCTGTAGCTGCTTTTTAAGGCAATGTATTGTTTGGCATAAAGAACTCTTGATAGTGTTTCAGAAGGGATCAAAATATATTTTCTGAAAAGTTATATGATGCTGTATTTTGATGCAAAAATGGTAGATTGTGATGGGTAAGCACTATGGGCAAATTGCTGTCTTTTATTATTTGAAGATTGTTAGGGGCAGTTCAGTATAAAATGTATCTCTTTTATTTTATTTTTTTCTAGTTGTATATCTGCCACCTCTTCTTTGTGACTTTGGCCAGTTCATGCTGTATTTTAAAAAAACCCAAATACAGTAACACAATCAATAAACAAACACAGGAAAACAGTAAAAACACAATAGCTAAATAAATACCCAATTGAAACCAACATTCAAAAAAAGCTGGAAAGTTTAAGTCTTGGATCAATAAGTATTGTCCCATTAGATGAGACTCCTTCATGGACAGGTCTCTTATCATTCTGTTGGACCTGAGAGGAGCGGTCCCTCTTCTCTAATAGAGGAAAGCCATTCTTATACTCACTTGAGACTTCCCCCAATCTGTATTCAATTATACACAAAGACTGTTGTTCATGGTATATCGGGCTGAAATTCTGATCCCCAATTTAAAACCAAATTCAATCATACTCTTCTTTAGTTCTTCTTTAATTTTCACTTTCATTGGTTCCGGCCTAGGCTGTGTGAGATAATTAAGTGATTTGTAGAAAGATAACCTCTTCTGTGAAGTGGAACTCAGGATCGCACTTCTAGGGATCCTTCAATAAGGCCCACCTTTGTAAGAATTACAAATGGAATGATGATGAATGCAACTGACAGTCTTAACAACCACCTCTTTTCCAAATGTATTGAAGTTATTTAGCAAAACAACTAAACTTTCTTTTTACTGTTTTTCACTTTAGTTACCCCGTTCCTTCCTTATTAAAGGTCAGTTTTAGAATAAAAGAAAACCAACCCCCCTCATCTGATCCACTTAAAACACAATGGCTTGCTTAAACAGTAAACATTCACAATCTGACCTATATTTTGGAGGAACAGTGGAATTAGGTAGGCAATGTTACAGTAATTAGATCCAATAGTGACCCTGAAATTTCATTTCCAGAAAACAAGAGGAATTGGCAGGAACAAATCCTTGTAATTTACCTCTAGGGAAGCGTGTGGTTCCTGTTCTTATTCTTATTCTTTTTTGTAGGAAGGCACATATGAGAGCTAGGAAAGGTAAAGAGCAAGAGAAAGCAAGAAAGAAGGAAATAAACTTTCTCCCTAGGGGCTCAACAGCCAGGAAAGCCAGGAACCTGCTCTCCGGTTCAAAACAGGAAATGATCTGGGCCTAGCCCCAGGCCTTCTGCCAACATTTAACAGTCTGCCTTTTAAAGCCAAGGGGAGGAGATTTCCACTGAAGATGATTTGTCCTCTCCCTCACAGAATGTAATTCCATGTTGCTCATTCACTGTGCATTTTATATTGTCCACAGCTCCACCATCATCAACAGTAACAAGGTTTGGTTTTATGTATCACTGGAATCAAAAGGTAATGTTTGAAAATTGGCCACCTTTTTTGAGTGTCAAGCAGCATCAGTGTAGCACAGCATACAACTGGTTCAGCAGAGGTAAACACTGGTGCTTAGCAATAACAGGCAGCATTAACCATCCTAATTTCATTCTGTTAAAAGGCAAAAAATGAGCACAACTAGAAACCAGAGTTCTATGGAATTCAACAGCTGGGGTGACTCGGCCTGGCCTCCACTGGAGAAGAGATTCCCCTCTATCAGGAAATCAGAGTTCACTCAAATGGCCAGTCTTTGGTCAAAACAAATATTTACTGGCACACCAGTTCGGAAACCAAAAATAAAATTTGCTTCCTATTGATCTTTCTTTGAAACTGATTCCTTGTAAAGGGATAATGCCAACATTTGGTGTATAAAAGGATGATCCAATTACTTAGAAGGAATGATTAGAAGCTTTTTCCGCATCAGGGACTACTGAGAAGAGTAAAACACAGGCTACAGGGATTTTATGCTTAAATGCTTAAAATTGTGACTGCATATGACTGCTTTCAAAAGTATTGCTAAACAGCTACTTCATATTTTCTTATAGGGGGAAAATCACAGAACTTGCTACATAAGTACACTTTATTTCAGAAGCGTAAGTGGAATACGGGTAGACAGTGCTTCAGATACAGAGATAAAAAGATGTTTTGGGGCACACAGGAATATGCTCTTAAAGGCAGCTGTGGTTTTTTTTGTGCAAGTGTGTGTGCTTGCTGTAGCTGCTGGGAAAAATGCATTTGGCTTAAGAAGTTGCAATCAGATGCTAGGTGAGTGCCTTCCATGCTCCAAAGCATCTTTTGGTCTTTAGATCCAAGGCTCTGCTGACCTGAGTTGAATTGTTCCAAAAGATTGAACAACAGACTTTCATAAATTTAGCAGGAATATGGCTTTTCCTGTTTCCATAAGATATTTTCCTATTCAGATACAAAGCAAATTTAACAGCCTGTCCACAAAACAGCTAAAAAATATTCAGTTACTTCATTTCTAAAGGCTCATTGAGAGATTAGTGATTCTGCTCCTGGTGCAATATAGACTTTTTACATATTTAAAGTAAGGAATCTTCTTTGATAGAGTTAAGAGTTAATTCAAGAATTTATCTTTTAAAGCTCAGAGCTGGCATTTTCTTTCATAAAATCCTGCTCTATCACATAAATGTTTTTTTTAATCCATTTAACTTACTGTCTTTTAACTTCATTTGATTCAGTTTTACGGTATTGTATTTTTGGTATAAGTACTGAAGTTGTAAAACCTAAATAATGTGTAGGAACAAAGATAGAATTAGCGTTGCAGCTTACAGGAAAATACATATTTTTTCAAATAATTTTTTTTTTCAATTTTGGAGACTAAAGTGGAAATAATTTCAAGCCAGTTGCCTAATCCTACATTGCTTCATGGTTGTGAACTATTAAAATATACCTGATTATAAAAAGTAGTCTTCTGCTAAACATAATCTTTTAAGGTAAAATGAAAAGTCTCATTGCATAGTAGTATGATTGAGGCCCAATTATTCAATGACAAATAAAGTAATGTGCACTTTTGTTGTTCAGGATACACATACATCTACCGTGCACATTTGAAAAAAAGTAGAAAAGAACCAGAAATGTATTGATGAATAAGAGTGGTTGTATACTGTTAGCAGACAAATTATTTCTCCTGATGTGTTCTGGGAAGGAAAGGATGTTAGGGACAATTGAATGGGAATTTCTGCTTGGAAGATCTTTTTAATATTGAAAATTTCTTTTTTTCTGTTGGCCTGAAGCATATCAGTTGCAAATAAAAAAGGAACCAAAAATTCAAATGGTCTAAAATTGTGAGAAAATTACCTTTGTAGCACTCTAAAGATCTGTTTTGCTTTCTCTGTACCCAAGAAATATGCTTGTGTGTATGAAAACATGAATTTCAAGATAAATTGTATCTCCTGACAGAACCACCAGAATTATTTCTTTTCAAATGTTTTTAATTGTTTTAAATGTAATTGTTTTCTTATGGCATAAACTTTGACTTTTTTCCTCTTCTTCAATATATGGGAGTTTCTAAACTGCAATTTGGCTTATGTAAACTTCAATAGTGCTTGTTTCTTTTCCACTTGCCCAGAAATGACTATATCATACAGACAATGTGTTTAACTTCAGTTAATTGAATATATACTTTTGGGAACATAAGTTTTTATTTCATATTAATAAAAATGCATTTCAGAAAACTGTTTCTCAGGTTTGCAATTCACTTAGCTATATGGAAAGGCAGCACTTAAGGCATACAACTTCACTCATTGTTTTAAATTAAAAGTAATACATATATCTGAGATCATATTCAAAATACACAGCTTTTGCTCAACCCTTACATTCTATAAAGAGGAATCCTTCCCAATAAAGAGCATGGTTCAATTGCAGCACATTTTTAAAAATGGCAAATAAATAAACACCAGCTGTGCTCAAGCTCTATTAATAAAGCCATATCAGAGGAGTTTGGACGAACACTCTTGACTTGAATATTGAATTCCACAAAATCCTATATCGTAATTCCAGTAGTAAATGTAGCTAGTTTTAAAACGTTGATAATTTTGCACGATTTCATTCCTAGAATCTTTCTTTCTCATTTACATTCCAGAATACAATAGGCTTAAGAAAAGTAATATGCCACATATTAATATATAGAGAAATTACAATATATTCACCAGCTTATTTTATTTACCATAGAGCCCAAGGTAACATTAACCTCCTTGGAATCTTTGACTTGGACATGTTTTAGCTGCATGTTTTATTGAGATCTGCAAGACACTCCACTTTTCAAAACATTATTAGGCCACTTGAATCATTTGGAGGTGTTCTCTGAAGCCATGGCTTGAGCATCAGGGTGGCTTGGCATGGCTGCTTCAAAGACTGCTCCCTATTGTCTGCACACACTTACCTGGGATTGCTGCTGATGGGCCACCTTAAAGAGGATATGGTCTCCTGATGCCTTAAGCAGTGGCTTTAGAGAGTGCTTTGGTTGTTTGCATCCAAATCATTATGTCCCACATTATATAAAAGGATTTATCTTATTTACTACCAAAAAACCTTGGTAAATTTGCAAAATTATTGAGAGAGAGATTTTATTTCCTTTTTATAAGAGAAGCAAGTTTTTAAAGGCTGCACTTTGTGTCAATATATAATTTTAAAAGGATCCTGAAGTGCTGAAACTTCTTCCACAAATATATCCTGAGATACCTGAGATAAGGGTCAATCAGACTCCATTTTCTGAACCTGAAGAAGGATTTTAGCTCAGAAGTAAAATATCCTATGGTTCATTGAAACCTAAGTGGAGATATTTCAAACGTTTTAAATTGCCAGATTCCTTGATAACGCTTTAAAGGAATCTGAAATAAACACTGGCATTTGCTTTAAAAATATTTACTTTCAATAAAGAAAGGCACTGTCTTATATTATCTCACATACAGTATATTGCATAGATTGCCACCAACATAGGAGTGCAAAGCACAGAACTAAATAATATATACAAGGAGAAATAATGTCCATGTGACCAGGCAAAATGATTTTATATACCGCTTGTAAAACATGCCAGTAAGAGCAGTTCAATGATCTATGCTGGTCCTGGCTGTTATAAATAAAACATATTTTCTCTCTTTAAACAAGTGTTTTCTGGTCAAATAATTGTAAATCAAAGCGTACCCAAACTTCCCCTGTTGGTACTTCATGCAGTAGTAAACGTTTAGTTGTAGGTCCTTTGTTTTCTTGCTCTGTCCTGATTTTGGCTACAGGAACTTCAGTGCGACCCAAAAACTCTGCACAACAACAACAAAATTCTTAGGTCAGATCACCAATGCGAAACACATCATGAACAGACAACAAAGAGAGATCTTAGAGAAATAAAGAAAATTAAGCATTATCACAGCATATTCTGGACCAGGGGTCTACAACCTTAAACACTCAAAAGAGCCATTTAGACCCATTTCCAACAGAAAACACCAGGAACCAATAATTTAACAACCGGTGTGACTGGGTGGATGTGGTCAATGTGACATCACTCACTCCCACCCAGTCACCTGACCCTCCAGCCATGCCTCCCCAGCTGGTCATTAAGGCAGAGAACCAGTTGTTAAATTATTTGCATCTCCGGCCTCACCCCACCCCTTGCTGCATCCGGCTTTGGGTGTGTTGTTCACCTTCTCCTCCTCTCTCTGTCTCTCCCTCTCTCCCTCCTTCCCTCGCATTGTGGCTTTGCATTGTAATGGGTTCCAGGAGGAGGAGGGGACCCTGTCTCCCCCATTATAAAGTGCGCTAAATTTCACTGTGCTGCGCAAGGCGCTGCAAGAGCAAAGGGCAGGCCATGGAGGTGGCAACAGCAGTGGCGTTGGCCGCTTCTCTCCGCAGCAGAGGGATGAAAGGAGGGAGTTGCAACAGAGGGATAAAAGAGCCCTGTTCTGGACAATCGCAATCAGTAGGGGTCTGGCAGCTTTTTGAACCTATAGTTTTGTTTTCTATTCACTACAATTGGGAGGAAATTTTTAAATATTTGAAACACAGAATTCCACACATACCATCAGGTGAAAACTGATCCCTGTCAAACATGGTGATACACAATACATCTTGATAAAGGTCTTTGATGAAGAATTGACAGTTAAAGTTCCATTTGGGATTCAAGGTATCTGGCAGTGTCCTGGTAGTGTAGCTTTGAGATCCCATGCTAACTTCGCAATATGGATTGCTTTTTCCTTAATTCAAAACAGAAGTGTTACCTGTGTTTATATTATTAAATTCATATGCTACCCACCTCACTCTGCAAAGCAACTCTGTGGGTTACAATTAAAATAACAAATAGTAAGAATCTTCAATAAGGAAATAAACCAAAGACAAGATTGATATACCGGTGGCATCACACAGGTAGTCCTTGACTTATAACAGTTCATTTAATGGCTGTTCAAAGCACTGAAAAAAAGTGACATGACCGTTTTTCATACTTACGACCATTGTAGCATCTCCATGGTCAGACTGATCAAAATTCAGCCATTTGGCAAGTGACTCATGACGGTTGCAGTGTCTCGGGGTCATGTGATCACCTTTGGTGATCTTCTGACAAGCAAAGTCAATGGGGAAGCCAGATTCACTTTACAACCAGGTTACCAAGTTAACAACTACAATGATTCACTTAACAACTGTGGCAAGAAGGGAGGGAAACTTACTTAACAATTCACTTAGCAACAGAAATTTTGGGCTCAACTGGGGTTGTAAGTTGAGGACTACTTGTTCGTATTAGTCCACCAGCCTCCTCCAACACAGAGCACCAAGCCAACTGGCACAGCCAGGTTTTAACACCTTCCAGAAGGTCAAAAGGGTGCATTCACAACAGTTTCTCCAAAGAATATGGTTTTAATATTTGGTTATAAATGTCTGTGATGATCTTCAGCATGTTTGTTTATTTAATGTCTGCAATTATCTTTGGCATGTTTATTTAATTTATATCCCATCTTTACTGTGTTTCCCTGGGCTTGAAAATAAGCACTTGGGTATTTTTGAGGAGGTTTTTTTTAATAAACTGCAGGAGGCGGCGAGTGCGGGGGCCAACGGGAGAGGGAACGCAGCTACTGCTGGTCCTGCCCTCTGTATCCCACTGTTTGCTTGCCTGCAACTGCAACGGACCAAGCTCTCGGGATGCCTTGGCCTCCACCACCCTGCCTGCTGGCCCAACTGCTGCTGGGACACTTCTCGGCTGTGGTGGGTGCCATGCTAGCCACCCATGCTACTGCTGGCCTCGTGGGGGATCTTGGCCCTCCTGGCAGGGCAGGTAGAGGCCTCAGGCAAGCAGACAGTGGAACAGAGAGGGTGGGGCAAAGCGTCCTCTTTGCAAGCAGATGAAGCTTTGTCTCCCTCTGGGGGAAAAGTGTGCAGGAGAGCCAGGCAGAGGCAATTCCAGTGTGCTACCCACTCTGTCCCACTGTGTCTTGGGCTTGCCTGCGTCCGCGCCGACCAAATACCCACACAGGGTGTCAGGATCACTGCCTCCCCCAATCCCCATGCTTCTGCCTCCGCCTGCTGCTGCTGTGTGAGTCTCCCACAAGTCTCCCATGAGTCAGGCAGCTGCACAGTCCAGATCACCTGTCTTCGCTATCCCCCGCCTCTGCGTCCATGCTCAGACTTAACGGTATTTGTGCTGTGCCAAGGAGCTGGCAGGCTGGATACCATCAGCCCCTGCACGCTCGCCACCTTTCATGCTGGCCGCGTACATCCCCCCCGGGCTTATTTTTGGGATACGGCTTATATTAGGTCCACCCCCAAAAAAGTCAGGCTATTTTTGGGATGGGTCTTATTTTCAGGGAAACACAGTATTTATTCATATCTTCACCATACTATGCAGGAAAAAAGATCTCCCCTGCAAGGCTGCATATTGTATTCTAGAAATACATGCTTGGCAACCTCTACTTCTAACAGCAAATCCCCCTTCAATTAGTTTAAACTATTTGGTCAGATAGTTGACAATCCATCCCTAAATTATTACCATTAGGTTTACAGGCTTTTAATTCTGTTGCTTCAATCACATGCACCATCAAGCGTCCTATTCCTGAACTTTTTTGTGATCGAGCTGAAAAAGAAATAAAAATGAGATGTGAAAAAAAGATTTCAGAACATACTATCTATTGGCAGATTTGCACAAAAGCTATTTCTGCAGTTTGCAAGTGGATCAATTTGTTTTGGGATTGTTTCATGAATTCTAGGTACTACAGCAACCATGTTTTCTATTGGTATTTATACGGATCAGTCAGTGTTTTTCTGTTAACACATCTACACCTAAATAAAAAGGAATCTAGTATATCTTTAGAGATGGTACTACTCAACTTATTTTAAAACCCAAAGTATCTTTATGAATCCTGTTGTCTTAGAATTTTTGAAATGTCATCTGGCTAACAAAATATATCACTTGACATACATGCCAAATCCTTCCAATCTCACAAAAACACAAAAATAGCTGCTACTAAAAGTTGCAGTCAGTCGCAGATCAGCACCTTGGTAAGCCTTTTCATGTTTCTTTTTTTCAGTTTCGATATATTGTTCTGAGGCTCCTTTAATTTTCTGGACCCAGGCAGTTCTACGAGAATAAATAATTTTGTTAAAGGATAATAATATAGACAAATTCCTTGTGAGTCTAATCACATGTGGCCAATAAAGCTATTCTATTCTGTTCTGTTCTGTTCTGTTCATAACAAAAATAACGTAAGAGATTTGACTTCATCTGAACACAAATTTGTGAATGTTACATTCTAATTTCATTTCTAATTATTGACTCCTGAAAACATACAACATATAAGAAATTTTAAATATGAAATGTATAGTAGATATCTAGATGTATTGATCAATATGTTTGTAGCCATATAACAAAATAGAGCAAATTTCTCTATTTTCAGTATCATTTATTATAGAATGTTAAAGCTGCAACAGACTATTTAAGGGATTTTGTATGCCAGTTTCCTTTAAGGTAATTAGCATTCTCTTTACTTTCATTATATTTGGTTACAGAGAAAATGAATCCTGGAATTTCTGCAATTCATGAAATTACCACTCTATTTTTTAAGTATTAAGATACAAAGTCAAAGTATGCAGCCAATTTGTGATACACCCTTGTGTTTGAACATTTTGTTTTCAATTGTTTTATCACGCCTTTTGGATACAAATAAAAGATTTACTACAGTCAAAGAATCCAAGAACAAGCATAAAAACAAAAAAGAAAACAGCATACATTTTGACATTTCATGGGAAAGAAATTCAGAAAATGTTTCATTCCTTTTTTTAGACATGAATTTGGAGGCTCACCTTTCATTTATATTGTCTGTTTTCAGTGTGTAGACTCGGTCAATATGGGAGATGTGGAAAATTGGCTCATCACTAGAAGGGTCAGTTGGCAATTTCACTAGGACTTCGTTAAGAAAAATAGGCTGGAAGAAACAGATTTTGATTCAGTTAGTTCAAACATTTCAGCAAAAAGTGACAGGCTGATTAGCAAAAAGGGATTGAAAAACTTGCTAATCTGAAGAGGCTTGTTTTGAATAAAGGTTTGTATCTGAAATTAGGAATGATTTTGAAAGAAGCCAACTATTCATGCAAATAACATTTAATTCAGTGCATCAATCTTTTCTTTAAAAAAAAAAGCTGAAGGAATTTGATAAGCATAATCACTTCACTTATTATTTTCTTTTTAAATCTGGCATTCCTTCTGAAGAACCTATTGTGCCCATAAATTACATTTTATTTTGTTAAAAAATAAAAGTGTTGAATATAGCTCTATACATCTTAAGCAAGGAGAATAAATTTAATCTTCACATGAAGTATTCTCTTGGAACTCCTTCCCAAGTATATATTTGTTGTTTCATCTCTTGCAAGGAATGATGACTTTCATATTTAGATGAGCCAAAGGAATAGATAGGCTTCCCCAGAAAGCTTGACACAGTTGAATAGCCACAGCACACAGCATCCATGTGCTCATAGCCAAGAAAAAACATGCCTTCAGAAACTCACCCAAATTTGAATGCATAAAAATAAATTTAACAACATAAAAATAAAACTCAGCAAGACTTCCATAACCGGTATGGCTCTTTAGCTTTTCTTATGAAGGAAAGAAAAGTGTTAAGCGCACCAACGTGCCTACCGTCCCTGTCCTATTGTTTCTTTTATATTTTTTTATTTTTCTTATATGTATCTATGTATTCATAACTATGTTTTTACTTATACCTATTCTCTTGTAAGCAATTGACAAATAAAAAATAAATAAAATAAGTATGCTGCTGAAATTAGGCTAAATAATGATATTGAATAGAGCAACCTTGTTCTTAAAAAAAAGCCCACAAATAGGTTGCATTGTGCCTCTAACCAATGTTTAGGCAGTTTAGAAAAAATAAGTCCCATTGATACAGATAATTACTTTATCCACAATCTGACTTTTGATTAGTAAATTCAAAACTATTATTGCTAATTAGAAGGTGTCATGATACAATTAACACTAGATGCATATTGGAAGAAGAAAATTACAGGTTAAAAAACAATGTATTTCTATTCCTAGAAATCCAATTTCCTCCCAGTTGAGATAACTTGAATTCACTCACCACTTTGTACATTTTAAACTGGGAATTTGATTTGGGACTGAACAGTTTCTCTGATCCTGTAGAGACGAACTGCTTCACCATGTAGGTGAGAAGGAGGAAGTCATTGAAGAGAAAACCATAGAGTTCTTTGTTGCTCTTTGTCTTATAAAGCTTGCCGCTGTGCAGAAGTTTCCGTGGTCCCAAACAGTTGGTCAGTGAGTTGAAAACCAGTTGCTGGGAGAGAGAAAAAATGATGAAAAGCACACTGATTTTCTTCACTATATAAATTATTCCACTTAAAAACCATGTTGCTTTGAAACTAGAGAACAAGAAGATAAACAATTTTATATGATATGGTACTTATTTTATCAACGGTTAGATAAAAAGACAAAGAAGTAGACTAGGAAATTTTATAATAGAAGACTAATAGATTGATATAGAACATTATATAAAAATATATAACCATTGGACAAATGCATAATATAAATGTATAATAAAATCTAGAATATCTCATATAAAATGATGGAATAATAGTTTAGTCAAATGAATGATTAATAACTGATAAATATATAACCATATGTTAGATTGACAACGTGAGAATCTATACAACCTATGAGTAAGGACTATGAAAGGATAGCACAAAAGATTTGTAACCAACTGACACACTGTATGTATATAACTGGAAGATGGTTTTATGTTTTTTATGTTTTGTCTGTATGTTTGTCTTAAAAAAATTAAAAAAATATATAAAAAATCCCCATGTTGCTGATATCATGTCTTATTATAATTAGTCCTAGCAAATGATTCAATTTTCTCAATTTGGAATATGACATTTTTACATATTTAGTATCTATGAAAGGCTTTTAATAGGCTTTGAATTTTGCTTTTGTGTTCTGACAGGCTTATTAAAGGTATAATGATACAACATTCCTCTGAACATTTCTGGAACTTGAACTAATTATTTTAGAAGATGTAAAACATCTTTCTGTAGCCTTGGGGTTTTGTTCTAAGAGAAGTCATTTCTTTTAATTTTCTTAAAAGGCATGCTTCTCATTCATCTAGAAACAAATCAATGTTTCAGAATGGATAACTATTTGCAGAAAGCATTATTATAGAGCTTGCGTATCCTGGGGCAGTGCATGGCTCCAGTATTTCTTTCATTGCCATTGTGACGTAGTTGTTCCAAGAGTTCATTAAATCAGCGTCATTTCCTTTTTTAAAAAAAAAATAATTCTTGTACATCTGGTAAATTCTTGTATCTACATTGCCTATATAATGCATGGATGAATGTATTAGGTATGTAATTCAGATACGATATCTAAGGATTTAGGAGGTGTTGACTAACATTTCTTCCATGCCATAGGAACTATGCAATAGCACATTTGAGTTGGATCTCTTGACACTGAGCCCCAATTACCTCAACAAGTCCTTCGCACTGGACATGGGACTGTATCCATTCAAGTCTGTCTGAATTCTCCTTCTCACGCACCCCCTCATTCACCTGGGAACACAATTCTTCAGCACGCTCAAGAGCCTGCTTCAGGTTATTGTGATCGGGGTGAGTTTCAGGGGTATTCTCCAGAATCTGGTTGCAGAAAAAGACAAATTAAGTCACGGTTTAAGTAAAAGGCAATATTGAGAAAAAAAAACACCACCCATTCTTATATTTCCATAAATATATTTGGTGTGCTGTACTCCCCCTTCTACAAGAGGCAACTTATTCAGAGATTCAGAAAGAGAGCAACCAAGGTACTCACACTCTTGATGAGCAGAGGGTAGCGAGTAATTCTCTGCATTGGTTTCAAGAGAAAGCTGGAGAGGGGCATGCCTTTACAGCGGGGATCTGAGGCCAATTTCTACAAATTTAAACAAATTTGAAACAGAAACATAGATTTTTATAGAAATATAAAACATCTCTAGCTTCTGAAAAGTTTATAACAGTTGATTTCCTATGTTTCATAGCCGCTGGTGCCTCTATTTTACAGAAGACAATATCTTAACTTTTGAAAACTACAATAAAGCTGCTTTTCATGAAATCTGAGAGTTGGGCAAAATACCAGCCTTATAGTTACCTAATACTGAGGTTTTTCATTTTAAATGTATCAAAGGGCTTTCATAATTCAGAAACTGCATGATTCCCCCCAGCAGACGTATGCATACAAAAAGATAAATAATAGGATAAGACTGGGAATCATGTCAATTGGTTCCTAGAATGACAAAAGCTGCAAATGCACAGAATAAAACTACATAACGAAATAATGTAACCTAACTGAAGGTGTCTCAGTTAATTTAATATTTCCTTCAATGTGATAAGTACTTTTTTTTTATAAAGGAAATATTGAAAGAAGGCAGGCAGATAACTGCTTATTGATCTAAATCATGTCATCATCTTAGCACCATCCACAGGTTACTTGTATATGTCAAACCTGTAACATGACAGGTGTTTGTACATGCATCAACATGTACTTACAAATTTTGCCCTTTCACCCTTTCCACTAATCACTATGCACCATGCTTGTGAAACTGCTAACAGCTCTACATTTTTACAGTGAAAAAAAAATGGCTTGAGTCAAATTTATGGATATCAGAGTAATTTTAAATATACCACTACAACAAGTTTTACGTGCTATTGTAACTGTCAGAAGGGGCATCTTTGCTTTTTGGAGAGGGAGTCAAGGCTTGCTTCTATTGTTCAAGCAGAAAAAGCTACTGTTACACTTGCACAGGCAACCCAAGGGGAAAGGAAAGATAGTGAAGAGTTACTGAATAATCGCCTACTTTCAAAAATTCTTTGAACTCTGGCTCTTCATCTGTTTTTTGCTGTAACAAGGCAGCTCCATTAAGCTGGCAGCTGCAGAATCGAATATAGGCTTGCATATGGGATAACTGAGCAGCCAAGATGTCACCAATCATCTGTACCGGCATCTTTTCTCCCCCAGTCTTCTTACGTACCCGAAGGGCTCTGGGAAAAAAAAAATCCATGGGAAAACAGATTGATTCCAGAAATTCCAGAAAGATGAAGCTATAAAAGGCCTTGCAAACAAGGTTTTCTGTTTCACAAGACACTGTGGGAAATTGGAGGGATGTGGATCTGGCAGGCACACCAAATAGATAAAATGCGGTCTCTCAGAACTTGCCAACTTGGAATTTGAATACTTTGCAAAATGGCTGTCTTGGTGGGCTTGACAATATACAAAGCTTTTATTTAGCAAGAGGAACACTGACAATCAATCCCATCACTCGGTCAATCTAATTTACAATCAAAAGGCCCAAAAGCAAATTACAAATATAAACTTAGCATTAGATGTCAATGACTCATCTTAATGTCCAGACAAAACATTGGATTATAGTCCTCTGTCATTTTTATCTTATAATAATGCCTCTGGAATCTGTGGGAGTCCCAGAAAAATTCTTAGAAAATTCTGCTTGAGGCTCACACACTTATTTTATTTTAAAAAAAAAATCTAAATCAGAAAGAGAAAAACAGGGCATGAAGCCTGGAATGTGCCAAAGGAGGTATCTATGAGCACCCTGGAATTCCCAGTGTCTCATTAGGTGCACAGGTTGTAGTTTACCCTACATATAATAATAATCTCTTCCTAGTTTAGGACCTTTCATATAATGGAAAACAGTGAGCAGAGGCAATCAAAAGGAGGGTCCAGTAAGTGGAATCCTGGAACTGCAATGAAATAAGACTGTGAATGCCAAACTAAGAACCTTCTCCCTTCAAACTCGTATCAAATCAGGCAATAGATGGCAGAAAAAAACAACAGAATAACATTAAGGAAGAAAGCAGAGATATATGCTCTTTATATTTTGGAGAAAATTTAAAAACTGAGGTAAGAGGTACGAACAGATAACTTGTGCCTCCATTCAACAATATAGGGGTGGATAGGGATTAACTTAATGATATGATTGCTGTTTTGGGTTGAGGCATTTAGCAGGACAAAAATTACCAAAACAGTAGTAGTACTTACTTCAATAACTTTGTATTACACAATATAAGCTCTTTCCAGTTGACGAAGATTAATCCCATTTCGGGTTCCGAGAGACAGCCTGCTTCAGTCATTTGTTTCTGGAAAACCTACAGAGAGGAAGAACAATATTAATGATAGTTGTGACTCAAATCATAATTGGCTCAATAAGTAATAATTTATTAAATATTTTATTTATTCTTTCTAGTGCACTCAAGCTGTTTGTCTGATTTTTTTTTTCAAAATATTTCACATTGTTGAATTAGAGTAATCAGATGCAAAGAGGATTGTCGTCTTACTCTTCAGGTTATCAATTTTTGGGAAAAAAATACAACTGCAGATTCTTTCTCTCCTGTAACACTCTGATAATAGATACTAAACTTCTTTCTAGAAATTCTGGAACTCCATTTTCCATTTCACCTGATGAAAAAAAACACGATTCTTTCAAATCTGTATATTTTTCCTGTGGAAGATGAACTGATTTTAGCCATTCTTCTACCAAGGGGATCAAATATTCTTCCTTGATCTGACTGAATTATTATAATTCCAACAGTATTCAGAAAATAAATTATACATTTTAGCAATCAGGTCTATAGTAATATGCCAGCAAATAAAATACATTACATTAATTTTCTCCAAGTGTGGTATATAAATTTGATCCTCCTTCCACTGAAATTCCCTTTCTTGCATATCTATCATTATATCTAATTTTGCATTCATATAATTATAGTCTTTAACTTGTTCAAATTCTGAGTCATATTTCATCAATCATCTAAAGACACAGCATTGTTTCAAATTTCATATTGTAAGGCTTTCAAATTTAATCAAATCTCTAAGTATTCCTTTTGTTTCTTCAGTTCTTTTTAATACACTGCTCAAAATAATAAAGGGAACACAAAAATAAGACATCCTAGATCTGAATGAATGAAATATTCTTATTAAATACTTTGTTCACTACATACTTGAATGTTCTGACAACAAACTCACACAAAAATTATCAATGGAAATCAAATTTAGCAACCCGTGAAGGTCTGGATTTGGAGTTACACTCAAAATTAAAGTGGAAAAAAACACTACAGGCTGATCCAACTTTGATGTAATGTCCTTAAAACAAGTCAAAATGAGGCTCAGTAGTGTGTGTGGCCTCCACATGCCTGTATGACCTCCTGACAACGCCTGGGCATGCTCCTGATGAGGTGGCGGATGGTCTCCTGAGGGATCTCATCCCACACCTGGACCAAAGCATCCCCCAACTCCTGGACAGTCTGTGGTGCAATGTGGCATTGGTGAATGGAGTGAGACATGGTGTCCCAGATGTGCTCAACTGGATTCAGGTCTGGGGAACTGGAGGGACAGTCGATAGCATCAATGCCTTCGTCTTTCAGGAAATGCTGACACACTCTAGCCACATGAGGTCTAGCATTGTCTTGCATTTGGAGGAACCCAGGGCCAACCGCACCAGCATATGGTCTCACAAGGGGTCTGAGGATTCTATCTCAGTACCTAATGGCAGTCAGGTTACCTCTGGAGAGCACATGGAGGGCTGTGCGGCCCCCTAAAGAAATGCCACCCCATACCATTACTGACCCACTGCCAAACCAGTCATGCTGGAGGATGTTTCAGGCAGCAGAACGTTCTCCATGGCATCTCCAGACCCTGTCACCTCTGTCACATGTGCTCAGTGTGTGAAGAGCACAGGGCGCCAGTGGCAAATGTGCCAATCTTGGTGTTCTCTGGCAAATGGCAAACATTCTGCATGGTGTTGGGCTGTAAGCACAACCCCCACCTGTGGACGTCAGGGCCTCATACCACCCTCATGGAGTCTGTTTCTGACTATTTGAGCAGCCACATGCACATTTGTGGCCCGCTGGAGGTCATTTTGCAGGGCTCTGGCCCTGCACCTCCTGTCCCTCCTTGGACAAAGGCGGAGGTAGAAGTCCTGATGCTGGGTTGTTGCCCTCGTACGGCCTCCTCCATTTCTCCTGATGTACTGGCCTGTCTCTTGGTAGCGCCTCCATGCTCTGGACACTACGCTGACAGACACAGCAAACCTTCTTGCCACAGCTCGCATTGATGTGCCATCCTGGATGAGCTGCACTACCTGAGCCACTTGTGTGGGTTGTAGACTCCGTCTCATGCTACCACTCGAGTGAAAGCACTGCCGGCATTCAAAAGTGACCAAACCATCAGCCAGAAAGCATAGGAACTGAGAAGTGGTCTGTGGTCACCACCTGCAGAACCACTCCTTTATTGGAGATGTCATGCTAACTGCCTATGCTTTCCACCTGTTGTCTATTCCATTTGCACAATAGTATATGAAATTGATTGTCAATCAGTGTTGCTACCTAAGTGGACAGTTTGATTTCACAGAAGTGTGATTGACTTGTAGTTACACTGTGTTGTTTAAGTGTTCCCTTTATTTTTTTGAGCAGTGTACAATATAATTCATTTGCAATATTAAAATGAATGTGGAAGAAGAGGTCGTTATAAAAATAAAAGTATTAAGAAACTGTCTTATTAATAAAATCTTTAGTTATATAAATGATTTCTTTCCTCTGTGCTTTCTTTCTGCTTTCCTTTTCATAAAAATAAACAAAGTATAATAAAGATAATAAATCTGGAAGAATTTTTTTTTTTTTGTATTTATCCCAAACACTCAGTGTGTTGCTCTTTATTATTTCTTGTAAGCTGCTTGTTTCTATTTCAATCAATTCAGAGATATTTATGCATGCCATCTAAAAGTCCAGCTTCCTCCACAGAGATGTCCAGCCCATAACAAGTTACAGTTCAGTCTGTAATCTTCCTTAGGCAACTATCTTGATAATAAAATTAAAATTTGGAGTTGCCAGTTTTCCTTTCATTTCATATATATTGTTGAATTTAATCCTTGCCTTGTTTTTAAAATCCATATACCATTTGATAGTTTATTTATTTATTTATTTAGTCAAACAATTATTAGATAACAGGTATAAGTATAAACATGGTTATAAATACATGAAATGGATACGAATAAGAAAAAAAAGAAACAATTGGACAGGGACGGTAGGCACGTTTTGGTGCGCTTATGCACACCCCCTACAGACCTCTTAGGAAAGGGGTGAGGTCAATAGTAGACAGTCTAATGTTGAAGATTTGGGGGTTTGGGGAAGAAACCACAGAGTCAGGTAGAGTATTCCAAACATTGACCACTCTGTTGCTGAAATCGTATTTTCTGCAATCAAGTATGGTGCGGTTTATCTTTAGTTTGTATCTATTTTGTGCTCTTGTGTTGTTATGGTTGAAGCTGAAGTATTCATTGAGAGGTAGGACATTGCAATATATAATTTTATATACTATACCTAGATCGAACCGAAGGCAGCATAGTTCTAGGTTGTCTAGGTCTAAAATTTCAAGTCTGGTGGCATAAGGTATTCTGCTACGAGTAGAGGAGTGGAGAACTCTTCTTGTGAAATATTTCTGGACTTTCTCAATTGTATTAATATCAGATATGTAATGCGGGTTCCAGACTAATGAGCTGTATTCAAGTATTGGTCTAGCAAATGTTTTATATGCTCTAGTTAGTAGAGTGATATTACCGGAGAAAAAGCTATGCAGGATTAGGTTAACAACTCTTAATGCCTTTTTGGCTATGTAGTTTTACAGTGAGCTCAAGCACTTAGATCTTTTGAGATGAGTCTTCCAAGATCCTTGACAAAGTTTTTGTCATCAACAAGATCTTAACTATTCAGGTTGTATTTTATTTTTTGATTTTTTTTACCAATATGTAAGATAGAGCATTTATTGTTGAGATTTGAAGTTGCCATTTGTTTGACCATTCTGATACATAGTCGAGGTCTTTTTGAAGGGTAGCAGCATTGTCAATGATGTTGAATAGCTTTACATCGTCAGAGAAAAGAACGCAGTTGCTCTTAATATAATCACAGAGGTCATTAATATAGAGCATGAAGAGAGTTGGTCCTAGAACACTGCCTTGGGGGACACCACTGTTGACAGGTATAGGATTTGATAGGATGCTCCCAATTTTGACCATTTGTTGCCTGTTTGACAGGAATGCTTCTATCCAGTTATGCAGGTGTCCAGAGATACCATAAGACCTTAGTTTTAGGAGTAGTTTGTCGTGTACCGCTGAATCAAAGGCTTTACAGAAGTCTATGTAAATTGCGTCAATTGCTTTGCCCTGATCAAGTTGTGTAGTCCATATGTTTTTACAGTGCAAGAGTTACAGGTTACAGGACAGTTTCCTTCTGAAACCAAACTGTTTATTAGAGAGTAGGTTGTTTGTTTCTAAGTGGAGGATAATGGATTGGATAATTATTGATTCCATGACTTTACAGTTGACGCAGCATAAGGAGATTGGTCTGTAATTTTCAACTAGGCTGGGGTCTCCCTTTTTGAAGATGGGAATGACTGTGGCTAGTGACCATAGATTTGGCAAGGAGCTGGTCCTGAAAGATTTTTCAAAGATTATGCTTAGAGGTTCGGCTATGGCAGTGGATAGCTTTTTTAAGAAGTAGGCACAAACTCCGTCCGGTCCAATAGATAAAGATGGTTTTAGATTGCATAGTGCTTTTTCAACATCGTCTTCTGTAAAATCGATATGTATTAGATTGTTTATGCCAGTCATTTAATGTCTTGTTTTCAATATTTATTTAAATCATTCCAATGATTTCAAAGGAGACATCATATGATAACTAAGCCAATCACATTTTGAACAAGAGATAATTCTCTCTGGAGTCCTTGGTGCTCTTTAACTTGGTATTTGCAGATGTTTCATTACCAAAGTAACATCATCAAGGCTAGTAAGTGTGGGTTTGCTCCCTGTTTATATATAGTAGTTTGTCCTGCCAGTGACGGGGGGGAGTATGGCTTTCTTCTTGATAGTTCTTTGTTTAGACTATTGTTTTCTGCTAGATTGATTGCCTGCTTATCTGAGTGTTGGCTGAAGGATGCATTATGGTCTTTTTTTCCTTCTTCCCTTTTTATTGTCTCTTTTGAATGGTGTGTAAATGTGGTTTGTTATCTGTGTATTTGTTGATGGTTGATTTGTCTGAAAGCCAAACAAAATATTACACTGCATATTCAAAAGATTAATATGTGTTTTTACTGTATAAAGTATGGAAATCCTCAGGGCCAATGATTCTTACAGTACAGCACTGAATGAGGTATGCATGCTGTTTTATTTATACTAGGTGGTCAGTTCTCACCAGACCTTCCAATTTAATTAAAAGCAATGAAAACATTTTTATACAGTCACAACTTTTCTTTCCAAGCAGATCTTACCTCCAAGACAAGTTGAAGGTCATCCATGTATTTTTCCTCTGTTTGGATCAACTCATGTATATAACCCTGCTTCTTCCTTTCCGTGGGTTGCATTGTGTCAAGACTCTGGAGATCAGCACACCCTATAAAATTAAGCATTTTTAATCATTTTGAGCTTATTTGTTCAATACCACATAGGCAATGAAAATTCTCAGTGACTCTTTTAATGAATAAAAAAACCCAAAACTGACTCTGATATAGATGTATAGAGCACGCAAAACACACACACACACACACACACACTTTCTGATGTCTGCATGGTTCTCATCAAGGGTGTAATTTGCAGTTTTCATAGTTAGGAGTTTTGCTAAGTTTATTTTATGGTCTGCTTCTGAGCTGTCCATGTTACAGCACAATTTTATGTTTGTAGTATATTCTGTTCTATTCAACATCACTGACTTAGAAACTTGGCACCAGCGGCTGACTCTTGCTTCCCTTGGCCTGCAAAAGGTTTCTCTCCCCTCCCCCTAATTTTTTTTTATTTAAATAATGTATCTGAAGCAATATAAATCGTATATTCAAAAAATCCATTTTTAATTTTTTTTTTATAAAATTCCAGAATTTTATCTAAAAAAACCTCAAAAATTACAATTACAAATACTTAGAAGTGATTAATGGCAGTTTTATGCCAATACGGAGGGTCATCAAATACAAAAATATCAGAAAAATATTCCAGAAAAAAACAATGATGGTCTGTACTGGATAAAGGATATACATCTATATATCTATAGATAAATAGATATACAGGAACTCTCTCTCTCTCTGTGTGTCACACATACAAATCAATGAAAAAAAAAAGACTTATGACCTTTTTTCACAGTTACAACCTTTCCAGCATTCCCATGATCCCCATGATCATGTGATCAAAATTCAGATGTTTGGCAACTGGTTCAGCTTTATGACAAATTGCAGTGTCCCAGGTTCATGTGATCATCATTTGCAACCTTCTGACAAGCAAAGTCAGTGGGGAAGCCAGATTCACTTAACAACCAGGTTACTAACTTAGTAACTGCAGTGATTCACTGAACAAATGTGGCATGAAAAGTCATAAAATGGGACAAAATTCAATTAACAAATTTCTCACTTGGCAACAAATTCTGGGCTCAATTGTAGTCATAAGTTGAGGATTCTCTCTCTCTGTCTCTCTCTCTGTGTATGTGTGTGTGTGTGTGAGATGAAAAATACCAGCTTACATGGTTCTCCCCCACTTTTATATTCACAACAAAGCTTTGAGAAATTCAGGTGAATTAGGGTCAGACAGTGAGCTTCATGGTAAAGCGTGAATTCAAACCTACCCATTCTAAATCCAGGAGAAAATGTAATGTTAATTTTGCTGAGCAATTTAAAGGTTTAGATTATTTCCTAAGCTTTTTTTTTAAGTAACCATAAAGACCTTTAAAACAGGTATTTCTTTAATCATAGAATTCCACAACAGCATCATTGGCCACAGCATTAGACTGTCTGGCTGAGAATTATGGAATGCCACCATCAATCCAAGTGAGTAGAGAAATCTCTGTGAATTAACAAATGGGCCAAAGGATGTGGGCAGGTCCTTTTAACCTATGCCACTGGTCTCCCTAATAACATGATTACTTGAGAAAGTAGCACTTAGAAGTGAGAAATGAAACAATTTAAGAAGGAAGTTGACAATCTGTAGCATCTGCTAGGAAAGCAAAAATCAGCAATGCATACTGTGTTAAAAGACTTGGCTTTGCAGAGACATATGTTTGTATCTTAAATTTAAAACTAGTCTTGATTTTGTTTAGAGATCAATTTTTACAAGTTTGATCCCAGTTTAATAATAACTTCCTTCTTACATTCTGGGAATTCTCTTTTGATGAGAAATGAAACCCTGTGCTGAATGAACATGTTTAAATTGATGTTCGGAATGACTTCTCCTCTATCACACACCAACAATTGATTAAAGTATAGTTGTGATCATCTTCCAGAAGATTTGAGTGATTGGTTGGTTATATAATGAAGGAACAACACAAATGAATAATTTATGGAAATGTATCATCAAACCTGAGAATGGTTAACTGTGCTGAAAAGAAATCACACATCATAAAGGTATTCTCTGTGTGTCTCTTTAATAAAATATTTTTGCATAGTTATTTCCAGTGTTCAAAAAACAATGCTCATGCACAGCATAGGGCATAGGCTGTGTTTGTATAGCAAAACACTGATCATTATTCCACTGCTTTAATACTAGAAAGCCTCAAAATACAAATATCAAAACAGCACACAGCATAGTGATATTTAGGAAACAAACAATAATGACAAGAAAGCAGCATTTTGTGGTAACAGCCCAAAACACCACTACAACTGGAAGTCTGTCAGCACTGATTGACTTTAATAGAAAAATAATACAAGTCATAGGACATATTTTAGCAAATACTGGTTTGTGCGTTTCTGATAAATCACACATTGGGTAGTACAATTCATTTGTAAAAATAAAAATCAAGAATTCTAGAACTTTTACATTCTTTTTGCAAACAGAAAAAATAGCATTGTCCCAGCTATCCATTCAAAATGTCAAGAAATCACAAGCTTTTCTCTAAAAACTTTAAGAAAGATGAATATTAATTTCTAAGTTAGGAAATCCCTCATTAGTTCCATTTCTGGAATGGGGACAAATAATATGTTGTAGCAAGTTGCCTCATATGCTTTAATACTGTTATCTATTTTTGATCATATTAAAAAACCTTAGCCATCCAAATAAAACAAAACAAAGCTATTCATCTCTAAAGCTAAAAACCACAATTTATACAGCAATCTCTGAATGCTTAAAAACTTGGACTCTATCATAATAGTCTCCTTTTTATTTTAAAAATGCATGTGGCAAAGAAAACTATTTTGCAACTTTTGTAAATTGGGATGTTGAACTTAGGAGAAGAAAATTTCCCCCATTTTATGTGACTTTTGTTTTGGGTTAGTTTCTCAGAATCCTAATTTGGAACCCTACTCAAATAATTTGTTGTATAATACATTTTAAAAACTATTCCTTTGTGAAATTTTAGTAGGTATAACTCACTATAACCATACACAAATTTTATGTACGTTTCTGAATTATTATTTAGTTATGCCATGATCTACTTGGGCCTAGCTTTGTTAAGATATTAATATACTAGAAATAAAATTATAAATACAGAATGAATTCTCAATAAAACAGATGACTATTAATAAATAATAGCAAAATACTTAGCAGCAAAAGTCTAAGCATATCAAACATTCTTATTAATGTCAATTAATATTTTGTACCTCTTTTGAGCTATATTTTGTACCTCTTTTGAGCTATAACGTTACCACTTGCGTTAAAATATATTTTATCTCTGAAGATTCTTAACTTATAGACTGACAAAAACATCTTTTTTAAAACTCACCCTACTGGTACACTAACCATTTGTTCATTCTAACAGTAATAAACATTGATAAATTAAGTCCAAGTAACCAAAGCCAACACCCTTTACTCTTACTAGGAAATCAACCAGACATTATTTGAACTATAAAATATGGTTAAATTCATTTCTGCAACTGATAAGCCAAGGATGAAAAACCTGCAGTCCCCAGTACCCTGAGATTACAGGTAGTCCTCACAACAGTTCACTTAGTGACCATTCAAAATTACAACAGCAGCGAAACTTATGATCATTTTTCATACTTATAACTGTTGCAGTGTCCCAGGGTCATGTGATAATCTTTGGCTACTTTCTGACAAGCCAAGTCAATGGGGAAGCCAGATTTACTTAACAACTGCGTTACTAACTTAACAATTGCTGTGATTCACTTAACAACTTTGGCAAAAAAGGTCATAAAATGGGGCAAGCCTCATTAACAACCATCGCACTTAGCAAAAGAAATTTTGGGTTCGATTGTGGTCGTTAAGTCAAGGACTACCAGTGTATCCAACTAAAATTTAATGGCAAAATAGTTCAGCTGCACAATTTCTACTCCCACTCCCCTTCCCATAAGCACAGAAAGCACAATGCTTCCATTTTCTGCCATTTAAACTCCTCAGGCCTCAGAAACAGCCTGAAATTGTACCAAGTTTAGCTTAATGACTTTTTAAAAGTAGAAATGAGCAATAAGCCCCTTGGAAGCTTTCTGCTCACATTCTCATCCTTAAAAACTGACATAAACAACCAAAAACCAAAACTACAAAAACTCTCTGTTCCTGTATTTATTGGCAGAGAGGTCTCGCCTAGAAGCAAGGAGAAATTTTATGACAGTGAGAACAATTAAACAATGGAATAACTTGCCTTCTGGGGTTGTGGATGTTCTATCACTTGAGGCTTTCAAAATAGACTGGACAACCATTTGATCAGTATGGTATATAACCACTGAGCAAGGAGCTGGGCCTCTGAGGTCTCTTCCAAGCATATGATTCCATGTTCTACAATTTTGGGAGTTCTTACACAGCAGAAATCTGAGGTCTACCAGGAGAATGATATACTTCTTTTTGTTGTTTTTGTTGCCATTTTGGTAAACCCCAAAAAGTGGGTAAGCACTCGTCTTGCTACTATAAATGGCTGGTGAATTATATCTTGGCAAGAATTAATTAACAGAATTTAATATTTGGTTTCTTTCTTAATTTGGAGTTAAGAATTGTAAGAGTTCTTCTGGTTGGCAGCTGCTAAACTACAACTGTGTTTTTCAAGAAAAGACCATCATGTACCTTGATTAATGTATTAGGTCATATGATAAACATTAGTATGGACAGAAAAAGAGACTCATCAACTTAATCTTGAGCTATTTGCAGATCTTCTATTGTTAATAATAATATAGAGATAAAATAAATATTTATTTTGTAACTTGATTCAGGTACCTAACTGTTCTATTTGGTATGAAAGACCCTCCTCCTACAATCCATTACTTCATACTAGTAATAAAGGCATCAGTGATTTGACAAGCCTGTTATATTCATTTAAATAACAATTCTAAATACGTTTATCAGAGATTAAGCACCATTGAACACAATAGCTTATTTCAAACTAAGTATGCAATGACTGCACTGTGAGGCAATGGCGCTAAAATTTAGAAAATAAACCACTCATTAAAGGATTCTGGGATTTTAGGAATATTG